GCTTTGTTTTATTTATAACTCAGACACACTACTGCGCCCGGGGGAGCAACAGAGGAGAGAGATCAGGGAAATGGACTGAACGCTGGTGTTTGTGTGCTGTAGAAATTAAAGATTAATGGCATAATAAAGTCATTTTTCATCTTAAAGTCCTACAAAGTCTAGGCCTCGGAGGACTGGATACTCTTGTATTAATATTCACAACTCACTGCTGTGAGCTTTTATCACAGGCTAGCTGTAATAAAAGTCAGCAGCTATTTTTCTTAAAGGTGTGCAGAGCTGTCCCAACCATTAACAGTACGACTTCTACTTTACTCCATCAGTTGTGGAACACTGTTTAAGGCACTAATAAGAAGCTTTCACACATCAAAACATTATATGTTACTAATCGGAGTGTAAGAAAAAAGACCAAATTACTGACTTTTAGTTCTTTTCAGTAACATTTTATTTTAAAATGTAAAACAAGAGTCCAAGCTCTTTAATCATTAGTTATTATTAATCTCTGGTTCTCATGTCCTGTCTTTCTCCCTTCATCCTTAACTGATTATACCAGATGGCTGCTTCTTCCTGAGCCTGGTTCTGCTGGAGGTTTCTTCCTATTAAAAGGGAGTTTTTTCTTTCCACTGTCGCCAAGTACTTGCTCATAGGGTGCCGTCTGATTTTGGGGGTTTCCTGTCTATTACTGTAGTGTCGTTACCTTACAGTATAAATCATCTAGAGGTGACAGTTTTTGTGATTTGCTGCTATGTAAATAAAATTGAATTTAACTGAATGAGGACTGGGGCATTGTCTCTCGCCTACCTTTGCTTTCCAAGGTAGGAGAACGAACCAAGCATCTGATCTCATAATCCAAATGGAGAGAGATGTTGCAGCCCCCTACTTGCCAATCGCCTGCTTTACTGGCGTCAGCCTGGCCTGTTGCCTTTTAATGCGCCATCTGCTTACAGTCATTGGTCAGATTAGGCTAAGTGTGGTATTACTCATAAAGATTATATTAGCCTGACATTCTATCTTAATGGCTTCCTTGTTCTGAGACTTTGGACAAATGACCCCAGATTACAGGTGATCGCTGATCAGAGTTGACGTCAGCCTGGATGGAGATGAGAGACGAAAACTTCAAACCATCTGCTGTTTGAGAGATTATTTTGATAGTGCAGGTTCAGTAATCATTTGCAGATGTCATAGTTGTTTGTTTTTTTTCCACTGTAAATCCTCTGCAGGCTGCTCCCTGTTAATCCCATCCTAGAAACTGTGCACGTGCTTTTGTAAAACGAAAATAGGTTGTAGCGTACAGTGGCTATGATGCAATATTTCATATTCAGACTCATTCATCAGTAGGATAAATGTGTCGGAGCTCCCTCTGTTGGCCTTAAACTATCTAGGACAGGCATAGTATGCCTCTATATTTCATTATGATGCCATATTTTCCTCTTCCTTCTCTGTTCCTAGTATAGATCAAAACACAGCGTTACCTTATTAGAAAAGACACTTTGTAAAAGTTGTGCCTTTTTCATTATCCATTTTCTTTGGTGATAATTAGTTTGTCACTCATAATTGCTATGAAGCATCCAACAGATTAAGATAAAGATTATTGCTACTGCTACTTTACGCTGTTCTTTCCCTTTTTGTTGGGGGGGAAGTAGGTTCTTTGTTGGCCAAAATGCTAAAAGCAAATCACAAATCTGCCCGATGCTGAAACCCGTGCATAGCTGAGAGTGGAAAAAAAATCGCTGGATCAGGAGCAGAAAACAAAGATGTAATGAATTGTAGAGGTTTAGCTTTGGGGGTGTATGACAGTCAAGATTTGATGGAGGGAGTGTGCAGCAGCTAATCCTTTAAGGCTAATCAAACAGCAGCTTGGAGACCATCAGCCTGCCTCTAGTCCTCCCTCCCTTCTTCTTTTCCCCCCCATCTCATTCCATGTCTCCTTATTTCTCTCTTTAGTGACGATGGCAGATTTACTCTTTTTGCAAAAAACGGATGATTGCTCGTCTCAATTTACAATTTAAAATTTATTCTTTTGAGCCGGATTCTGTTTTTGTGTCGGTTTTAACCCTGCTCCCCATTTCTCCTAGCGGCTCTCCCTCCAGCGCTCTGAAAGCTGTTTAGACAGACTGCGTTGGATTCGGTTGGAAGCAGCGACACAGCTGGCTGTCTGAAAAGCAGCATCTTCCTGCCTCACGCTGCAGAGTTTCTGTCTCCAGGCAGTCATCTCAGCCTGCGAGAGGCTGCTATTAACTGCTGCTCTCTTTGTCTCCGCTCGTCCCCATATTCCCGACTGCTCTCCCACACCCTGCTCATCTTCTTTCTACGTTTCATCAGCTGCTATGTAGCACAGGAGCTGCTGCTGATATGGTTGCATTAACACAGTGGGCATTCCCCGGTGATTGTTATTCATCTTATTAATTTCCATGATATCCACATTTAATTATATAAATTCTGTCGGTGTTTGATCGAATAGATGCCAGTGGAATAAATTAGAATAATGATGGCCAATAAGGACATTTACTGGATTAAGTAATAGAGCAAAAGTAAATAGAAATTGATCATGTTTTTCCTAATGAGCTTTGAACAAAAGGATGCTGATGCAACAGCTGCTTACCTCTGTATAGATCTACAGTGTGCATTTATAGCATTTCACGTATCATAATATACTTCACTCAGTCAGCTGTGGGGGCCTTTTTAGGTTGTGTGTGTATTTTCAACAGCGTGGATCCAGACAGCTTTTCTTCTTCCGTATTCGTGGAACATATGGCGCGAGCAACCTCTAGTTACCATAGCAACACTGTGTTTGCAGTTGCATGAAAAATGCTATCCACAAGGACATAAACAGAGCTCTGAAATGAGCCCGGATTACTTTGTTATTGCCTTTTTGCTTTATTTGCATACATCTGGAAAGTAGAAGCTTTTGAGATTTTTTTTTTAATTTATAAACATTAACTAGGCGGCTAAATTTCTTTTTTATCAATGAATTAACTGAGTGGCTTTATTTTGTACAGTAAACCTAGATCGGTGGTCTGTAAGCTTATTTGCTCTTTGCATATTACTCCCTGAAAGTGGGTCCTTGTCCTTGAAGCTGTCTGTGTCACTGCCTGCCTGACCACCTGAATGTACAAAGCAGTTACTAGTGACTGATCCAGATGGATTTGTAGGCATACCCGTCTTATCCTGCTGGGACACACTAGGCCCTCACAGAGATTACAGCTCTGTCTCACATCTAGACCATGTGCTGTCTCATCTGGCATCACAGCACCTTTGGAGAGTTAAGATAAAAAAACAAGTATTAATTACGCCCACCTAATATTTGATATGCTGTTGGTGTATTAACATTCATGTTTTAGATGCATGCGATACTGTTACAGCAGTATCTGCTGTTGCTGTAATGTAATGCTACATTACTGCTAGCTTGCTTGGTTTCTATTATTGACCACATTGAAGGCTTAAGTGGTGTCCCATGTGCCCTTCTCATTCATGGTACACATTTATTTGAGCCATTGAAAGCTTTGGAATTTGCCTGGGGGGTAAATCTCTGTGTGTCTTTGCTTGAAGAAAAGCAAAATTTGTTGAATTCAGGCAGGAATGGACAGTATGAATAGAAAAAGATTAAAGGGTGCTGTAACATATATTACATGCCAGTTGAAATGGTGTTATTGCAGTACAGTATAATATACAATCCAAGAGAATGAGGTTTAACTGGCTGGTGTGTTTTAGACCTGTGCAGTGTGGTTATAGCAAAGATTTTCAGGAAAAAAGGAGGAAGGGGTAGAGGGATGGAGGAGTGAGAGAGCGAGAGAGAGCGAGAGAGAATATAGTGTACTGCTGGAGGTGGGCTTCTGCAGGCGGTCGCATTTAGATTGGGAGACAGCATTTCCTACTGAACAGGAGTGGAGACAAACTGATATGGCTACAGATGACAAAGAAGAGCAGCATGAAAGGACTGTAGATTAGAGACAAAGAGATCTGGATACTAGACGACAGAGAGAAGGAGACAAGGCAGAGGGAAGGCTGCATCCAGGATCCTATCTGTGGGCTCCTACCTGTGTGTCAGGCAGTAGCTCTGGTGCGGAGAGGTGCAGCCCACCAGCAACCATGGCAGTGAGTGCGTGGCAGGCTCTGTCTCCACTGCAGTGGGCTCGATGGGGCTGGGACACTCTGCTGGGTGGGGCAGGAGACGGGAACAGCCCAGACGCTGATCCGGCTCTGGGGCTCCTTCGCCGTCTCTCCTGGGGCTCACGTCATGACAGCATGATCAGGGCTGCCGGGGAACCGGTCAGACAGAGGTGAGACAGGATGGGGGACCGGAATCATATACCGTCAGATAATCCATTGATCAGCATAGCATTAAGCTGGGTAGCCAGGCTATGTTTCCAGCTTCGCTGCCACTTGTGTACTTGAGTGTGTTTTGCTGAGAATGATCAGATGTACAGACTTTATTTGCACGCAGAAAGCTTTAATTTCTCATTGTTTTAATTCAGGTGTTTCCGTATTTCCTGTGTATTTCCTGTATTTTATATCTGTCATATCTCATCAAGGCTCTTGAGGCTTTCTGGTATTTTTGAGTCTTACTGTGTGCTGTGTAAGGTAATGCTTTGTCTCAGGCGTGTCATTATCTGTCACCTCACTGCAGATTCAGCATTCTCATTGGAGCACCTAGAAATGAAAACATAAACTCATCATAGCCTGGAGCTTTTTAAATTTTTTAAACCATCACACATGACAGGAAATACTCTTACTGCCATTCCCACATGATGTACTGCAAGCGTGTAATAAACTGTGTAGCCTCTGATTAAAAATACCTCCAACATACCGTGACATAAAGAATAACATTAGAGCTGCACGACTGGAAAATAATTCTGTCCTTCGTGATGATATTATCTTTCACCTTTTTCTTGAGATGGATGGATATTTATGTTAATGAGCCTGATATGGGTCGTTATAGTCCAGTGGGTATCGGCCTGCTTCACAGCACCTTTCACTTAATGTTTCCTCATCTTTTATTGTAGGAGCTCAGACTCTGATGGCGCTTTTGAGACCCCTGAATCTACAACTCCAGTGAAGGCTGTTTCTCCAGCTGAGCCTCAGATAAAGCAAACAACATCTGACGAGAAAGGTACAGCAGGACAATTATTTCATGACCTTTGCTTAGTTTTATACCGATTTAAGCTGTTTCACTATTGAAAAAGTGTTGTTACTGGATGGATTGTTACACCACCTAGTGGAATGAAGTTGTAATTTAAATCTGCCTTTTTTTTTTTTTTGCCGTGTCAGCCTACAGCGCTCAGAGCTACATCTCTGGGGACACTTTATTCTCTTTTATGTGTTTTTTTCATGCCTTTTTGTCCAGTTGGGACATTCGTTGAATTATTTATAACACATCCATCTCTAGAGTTTAAAGTGTCACACAAAGAGCAGTTAAATTCTACCATAATCTACAGTACTGTGCAAAACTTCACCCCTCATTTCTTTATATTTTTCAGAAAAGCAGGAAATAGGTGCAGTAGTTTATTAAAATATGTGCAAATACAGATGGGAATAAATAACGTTTTTACAATTCTACTGAGCTTAGTCAATATTTGGTATGACCATCTTTATTTTTCAACACAGCCTGAACTCTCTTAGCAAAGCTTTTGTGCTGAAAAATGAAGCTGTTGCCATTCAGATGCTTACCAGATGGTACTGTATGGTGGATCAAAATCTGACCATATTTTTCTGTATTCATAAATCCCATCAATTTTGACAAGATTATCAAGAAAAGGCTAAAACGCCTCCCCATAAAATGATAGGGTCTTCACTGTACTTTATTCTTTGGCAATCACCTTGCAAAAATATGATTTCATGCCTGTCTAACTGTATCTTTGGTATTTTTCACTGATTCGGAAAAAAAAAACAAGCAAGAAAAAAAAGCATGTTTTGTTCGACTGAATGGTTGGATTAGTTAGACTCTAGAAATCTTTGTCTTATGTTCCACATCTTTCAATCTCCTTTTGCAGTAGAAGACACCTCAATCACTGATCCTACATCTGACTTCACTGCAGCCGAACTACCATGCCATTCTGCGTCAAATACTTTTGATGAAAACAAGCCCATCGCTGCCAGTGGTACATATAACATTGACTTTTTTGCTGCAGAATCAACGACTCACACTCTAACCCGTTCTCTGAGCCTCCAGGGAGGAGAACTAGATAGTTCTGCTCTGTTGGACGGATCACCTTCAGGAGGTTTCCGTCCACACTCCGAGTCTTTCAGTGTAGGCACTGAGAGTGCCCCAGGGACACTCCGCAGGCCCAAGAAAGGTCGTCCTGGGTCTGTAAAGAAAAAGCCTCTTCTCAGACAGAACTCTAACCCAGAGAGCCCAAGGCCAGACTCATCCAGCAGCACCCCAGAAATTAAGAAGCGGGCGAAACCTCGAACAGCCAGCCCTCTCCAGGCTCAGGAGGAAACTGAAGGAGGCTCTGCAACACCGAGTCCTGGAGGAACGCAGCGAAAAGCCAGAAAGACCCGTGTTGAGACTCCTCCTCCCCTGCCAGAGGAGACGACCAATCATACCACCCAAGAGGAGAGCCTTATTGTTGCTGCCTTACCTTTATGCCAGGAGGAGATACCCCTCCCTGAAAGTCAAGCAGACAAAGAAGAAACCCCCATCCCTCCCAGTGGCTCCTACAAATGGGATCCAGACAACTTTGAGAACATCAACCCCTTTAAAACCGGAGGTAGTAAAATTGCCAATTCCCCTGTTTTGGGTCGTAAGGAGCCTGTGTGTGCCCCCATTTCCACCCCTCTAGAGAGTCCCCCCGTCCCATCTGAGGAACCACATCACCCCAGTCCACCCGCTCCTATTAGAGAGCCAGTCACGAATCCTGAGGAGCAGCCCATTATACCCAAGCGTCAGTCACTAAGACTGGAGTTTGACTACTCCGAGGAGAGTGGTGAGGCATCACATCAGGCCTCTCCTCCACCTAAGAAGCTAGGCAAGAAGCCAGGTGCCAAGATGCCTCTGAGGAAACCAAAGCTGGGGCTGAAAAAGGCGCCTCCAGCACAGACAGAGCAGCTGGACAACATTCCTCCGGCAACTCACAACAGCAACGAGGATGAAATCCCGGCAACTAAAGCATCTTACACCTTTGAACTCGACAAGTATGAAGATCCAAACTTGAATCCATTTACTTCAAGGAAAAGTATCACCAACTCCCCCAAACTTTCCAGGCCGCCTTATAACTTTGATGACTCCATAGACCCTTTCAAAAGCTCCAACAAGTTGACCAATTCCCCTCCTAAGACTTCTGCCTCATTTGAACTGTCATCCAATGACAATGATAATGAAAATGACAATGACAACCTCGGGGAATTAGAGGACCAGAACCAGAACAAACCTGCCAAGAAGAAGAAAACTCCCATCAAATCGTAAGTTCACTCTGTATTACCAGAGGATTGTCTATTCACAGAAAAGTCTGCATCAGTCTGTGAGGATTTTAGGTTAGTCTGTGTTTGTATGTGGTTCTCTAGCCAGTTTTGCCAGTGTCCTCTGTCTGTCTGTCTGTCTGTCTGTCTGTCTGTCTGTCACCTGTGTCTGTGTATTCTCATATGTCACAGGAAGTCCAGGGGTGTGTCTTCTCTATGTTGTTTTTTGTAAGTACAGGGACAACACAGCCATCCACCCTTTTGCCCTCTAATTCAATCTGGCCCTCTTTGAACCAGCATGTTGCCCTGTTGTCCCTATTAACAGAAACATCAAAATCATTTGTGCTCGCTATTAAATCACTGAAACTCATTAGAAACATACCCATTTTAACTGGAGTATCCAGTTTAAATCACCCATAATCCCTCCAATAGAAGATCCCGTTAGTAAATTAATGCTATATTTCTATTGACTTATGGATGGATAGTGGTGAAAAACTCTTTTGTTTTTTTTGCTTTCCTTTTTTACACTGAAGTATCTGCAATAATTTTGCTCATCTGTATCCAGTTGTAAGCGTTTAACAAAGGAGGTGCTGGTGCCCCCTCTGGTGTTCATTGTTTGCTATTGAGGAAAGAACGAACGCTACAGTGTATCAGCGTGTGCCAGGATCACATACAGTTTGAAACAGGCTGGACCAGAAGCTACCTTTCTTTTAATGCAGTGAACTACAACTTAGTGATAATATTTAATGAAGGACCCAGATATCATAAAAAACATGTACAATGTCAACAGTATGTTTTATTGCATGTGAATTACAGCAAATTTGGCTCAGGCCACATATCTGATACTACTGCTATTTAATATATTTTTACAGGGATACATAACCCTTTTATTAATTCAGGCATGCATTACACATTAAACACTGAGCATAAAAACAACAGGGTCTATGCAGTCCTGTGAAAAACTAAGTACATCATTACTGCTTTGATAGGAATTAAGGGGGTAAGTAGTAGCCAGGTGCTGCTAATGCACCTGATTAACCGATCATGAGCAAGTGAGAGCACTGAAGCAGCACTGTAAAGAAAGGTTGGTCAAAATTCCTCCACAACAATGTGAGAGACTGATAAAGTCTGAGAAAAAAGAAAACTGCATAGAGCCGTGTGAAAACTTGTTGTTGCACGTGACTGTATGTATTTACAGTGTAAGTAAGTGTAAAATTGGATAATTCCTTCTAAAGGTTATTGCAAAGTTCTAATAATTAAGCTACAGTATTGTTTACCTCATCATCATGATCACTAAACCTGGAAAACCAAGCTGCTCATAACATAATATTAATTTTCCATTACTCTTCACTGTCCAGTTACTAACTATAGATTCAGCCCTCTTCAGAAGCATTTACTGTTCTATCCATTTCAGCCACACACAGTAAGCAGCACTGTTGCACATGTGGAAATGAACTATGCAAATTAATGTTTTTTGCAATGATGATTTTATGCAAAATCCAGTCTTTCCAACTAGCTCATATTTTAGCATCTACGACTACACAAATGCTATATAAATGTGCAGCAAATGCAGAATTAAATACAGATAATGATTGACTCTAGAGTTTGACGGTGGATCTTTTTATATCCCCTCAGTAATACTTTCAGAGTGAAGAGGTCGCCAAAGAAATCACCCTTATCTGACCCATCACAGGTATGTATCTGATATGCAATCTCGCTTGGCTCTCCCGCTTTATCTATGTGCATTTCTCCCTCTTTCATGTGTCATCACTCTCTGCCGCCTTTTTTTGTGTCGCAGGATCTTATACCCGCAGATGAACCTTCCTCCCTTCACCAGCAGGATGACCATGCCACAGATGAGGAGAAACTAGCCTCCTCCACCAGTCATAAGTGGGCAGCCCTGCACGACATGGATGGAGATTTAAACTCTGACCAGCAAGACTTTCCCCAACCGTGCGACCTTACATCCTTTGTTAATGAGAACAGTCTTCCTAAGGAGACTCCAGGTGAGGCATAACTGTCTAACTCTCTGTAACTCTCGGTAATTCAGAGCTTATGTCTGGATAAATCCTTACATACTGTATATGAATCAGAAACTCTACCTTTTATTCATACTGCTGTGTTATTGATTTTTCTTGTGGCAGCGATATAAGTCTGCTGGCCCAATTCTGTACTACCCTCTGACCTTACGCAAGAGCCAACGCTTCCCAGAGGCTATCTGGTTCACCCCATCTGGGTCAGAGATGGGAAAACAAACAGCCCTGCTTCGTCCTCTGAACTCGTCAAACCAGAGCTCAGCACACCACTGATGCGTCTCTTCATTTTGTTTACTGTATCTAATGCTTTGTTTTGCCTTTCCCTCTCAGTACAAGACTATGAAATTGAGTACATGGAGAAGATTGGCTCCTCTTCCCCAGTGAGTATTTAATATTACAGACAGATTGTATTTGAGCTTGTCTTATGGTCACTACTTTTAGTATTTATAGCATTTATTTTACATTGTTTGTGTGCTATATGATATTTTAGCCTTTAAAAGTAGATAGTCTTCGTTCTTGTTTTTAACCTTGTGTGTCTTTTAGCCTCCGTCTGCAAAGAAGCCATCTTTGTACTTGAAGTTGGACTCAGTATCTGACAACTTAACCAAAAATACATGTGCGCATGGATCTGAACCCAGCTCCCCCTGCACAGGGTAAAATAGTTTACTTGCTACGCTTGCAACTTTGTTTCTTTGCTGTACTACGTAATGGTTTTGTTAACGTATACTACGTGAGTTTTACACTGCATTTTTAAGTCCCTTTCTTATTCTCGTGTGTGCTAAGTGTACACCACAAATAATGTATAATGCATTCGTTTCAGCTCCTTCAGCAATGTTTTCATTAATGCTGTCGTCCATCATCTGCGATGCATTACATGCCGTGCCTTTCCCCGCCTCATCTCCTGTTGGGTTTTTCTCATTCTATGCAGGAGTTTTGAAGAGATGGAGGCCCAGATTACAGCAGGTATGAAGACACCGGTGCTCAGCTCCCGGCCTGGCCCCGAGGGCTCTGCTGCAGACAAGGGCAGGAAGAGAGAAAGCGAGGTGCTCAGTCGAACACAGAGCACCGAGATGGAGGAGCAGGTAAGTCAAGTGCCTTTGTGGACATTTAATTACAGTTAATTTGTTGTGCATAAATGTAATTTACACTCATGTCTAGTCATTACCATTTAAGGGGAAACTGTCATGTTTTTTGATTTCGGAGCATTTGCACCATGCTGTTGTTTAGTCACAAGGGGGAGACAGTGCCACGCTGTAAATGCTTTGTCATAGGCTGTGACTCAGCCCTCCAAAGTGAACACCATCAGTCACAGGGATTCTTATTAAATCCTTGTCACTGATAATGAAAAGCCAGTCAGTCACACTAGGTTCCCAGCTCAGATTCAGCAAACCACCTCCCAATGCTGCCACTCAAAAAAAAAATCTCAGCGCTTGCTTTGCCATGCTGTCCCCCTGCCCCCTCCTCCCTCCCCTTCTGCCTATACCTCCTGGTGCCCTTGAAGCCCCCTAGCCAGGGCCCCGTGGAGGCACTTGCGCCAGCCCTGGCCATGCCCCTGTTAGACAGGCTGTCTGAGTGTGACGACCCCCTGCAGTACCTGGAGCCTGACCTGGCTGAGACCAACCCCACAGCATTCGCCCAAAAACTGCAGGTGTGTTGAGAAACCACACAAGACCCTACTTGATAAATTTGCCGACCCATATTTGGGCCTTGATATTTGTCTCTGTGTGTGTTTTTGTACAAAACCTTATTCCCCGTTGTGTCACTGTGTTACATCCTGCCTTTTCATTTTCCCATTTTTTCCTCCTCCTCCTCTATAAGTTGCAGTTTTTTTTTTAGCTTGCTGGGTAAAATAGATTACTGGTGCATAAAATGTAGATGGCAGATCAACTCAAATTTCATGTGTTTCCCTCTTACTCTGTCATTCTTGGGCTGCAACCTCTCCTCCCTTACCACTGAAATTCGGCCCTCCCAATGTGTGCGGCCAAGGAGGAGCTGGTGCTTGCTGCCCTGAGGATAGAGGCTCTGCAGGTAGCCAAAAACATCTCTCAGTGCCCCTCCCTCTCCACTGTAACCCCCCAGGTACTGCGCTGAGTCAGCCTGCACCTGCTGTATGCAAGCGTGTGTGTGGGTGAACAAGTGTGTTTGCAAGAGCAAAAGATGCATCTTGAATGAGGGATTAGCGAAACGCAGGTGTGTGTGAAATGCACATGTGCGTTTCTGTGTGTGCGTGTGTGTGTGTGTGTGTGTGTGTGTGCATGAGTGTGTCTCAGCCTGCCTCTCCCTCCCCTTAAACACACCATTTTGAGTGTGACTGTGAATCCATGGCCTTATCAACATGGTGGCTGTACAGCTGCATCCACAGTCCCGCCACCTTCCGCGTCCCCACATTGGACTCTAACATGGCTTGATGCGTCCCAGCTCCCACCCTGACTACCAGCGAGCTCCATTAAGCCTTAGGAACCAAGTGCTGTGTCTTAGTCCCTTGCCTTTGTGATGCATGTTGGGCAACATGCATGTTGCCTGTTTCATGAGAAACTTACGTCAGCATGAATGTGACTGGGAATGTCTCACATTAGACTCGGCAGCTGAGGAGTTACATATTACGGTGCAGATCTGTTGACGTTTCATGATCACCTCCCCAAATCCCAGGTCACATTCTTGTTTTGTGATTTGGTCCATCTATTTGACTAACAGTACTAACAAAACAGCGTTAGGCAGGGTAAGTAGTACCTGGGAATTTGCTGGTCCAAATTCTGAGGCAGGTGCTGAACTTAAACTCTTGCAAGAGTTGGAGCAGGGCACGCACTTCCCACCTACGTCTTTCCTTCCATGTCTCATTCTGTTGTCCCACGCATTTTACAGTCTCGTCTCAAGAAACCCAGTACTCGCCGGTGGAATATCAACGGTTCACCCTTACTCAAAGTAAGCGCAACATAGTTCCCCCTGTGATGTGTTCACGTCCACCCATAGCGCAGTCCAAGTACTTCATCATAAACACATAGTTTTTAATGGCTCAGTATGTCAGCAGACCAGATTAATGTCCTGAATATAAGCTTTAAAGGTGATTAAAGGTGTTCACATCTGCACTGGTTAAGAATTATAGCTTACTTTTTTGTAAAACCAAGATAAGGGCGATAAACGCTATTATTCATAGAGTTTGAAGGTAATTGCACTCCAATTATAGCTGAAATTCAGCACTTTAGCCTCCTAGTAATGGACTGTGAAGCCAAAACTGTCATCCAAATTCTTGCAGACTCCACTAGATCGTCTAGTCTAATAGATCCATAAGTTACAGAGAGTCCATTAATTTGCTGCCTACCAAAAGCTCTTTGTGAGCTGTTATGTGCAGTTACAGCTATGTAGTATGTCTGTTGTAGCCTTTGTGCATCTAATAATCAGTCCTCTCTGTCTTTGGGGGATGTGGCTTCGACTTGTGTTTTTGGGTCTTTTTTGTTAGCATTAAATCTACAATTAAGGCATTTCGTGTAAAGAGAGGTTAGATTTCAGTGTGCTCACCTTGTCTGTGTCTGAAATTGCATACTAATGTGTTATTTATTATGCTGAAATCATGTGTGTGTTTTTTAGCCAGTCCAAAACATCTCTGCATTACCTGTGTAGTACCTGACGTGCAGACTGTTTCTGGAGGATTATTAGAGTGTGCCGGCAGAAAACACATCTCACAACATAACAGACATTGCTCAGTGATGAGTAAGGCAGCAGAAATTAAACAATCCAGTTTATTTTCCTTTTTCTATTTTTTAGTCATTACTTTGTGCATCTCAGCTGAGGTTGGGTTACCATGGTAACTCATCTCCAACTTGAAACCTGGCTCTCACTTCAGTAGTTAAACAACAGTGAACATTTTGAGTGTTTAGTTGATGGTATTTGGCATGGTATTTCAGGTGCATCGTTGAGGCTTTATAGACGTGAGTCTTTCCTCGCAAAACAAATACAAAGCAGGTTATCGTTAAAAATCTGAATCCTGCATGTTTTGTCCCATGCAGTACAGTCAGTGCTGTTAATGAAAAGTCTGTGACATTTGCCTGAAGTACTACTAAACGAAAAAAGCTCTTTATTTAACATGTGATTCAGGATGATTTACTAAAAGGGGCTTTTTGTTAGCGGATTCTTGCTGCAGCTTTACCAAAGAACCACAGGTTTGATTTGTTTCCTTAAAGTCTCTGAACCTGAACCTTTCTGTATTGGAAGATAAAAACCTAATCAGTATCTGACTGATGTTTGTTGTTATATGTACTTGACCGTTTCTGTTCAGAGAAGTAATGCAATTAGCTGTACAGCCGGACCAAACACTTAACTCTTTCCAAAGTAGCGGTAGACCTGTCCTTGTGTCCTGTGACCCCCCATCATCAAATCCTCCTTTAATCCCTATCTACCAAGGATAGCTAAATCCTTTTCAGAGTTTTCAGGGACCCAAACGTGGTACTAGAAGAACTGTATTTTAATATGATAAAGTGAGGAGGCTTTTATTTATTTTGTCATAGGTTGCAACGGACACTTGGAGATGCATTTGGGTTTGTAGTGTCTATACTTTAGATCCAAAGTCTGACTCTTTCTAATGATTAACCCTGAAGATTTTCTGATTCACCTTAGCCCTCATCACATTACAGTCTCTGTAGCTGTAAAAAAATGAGTTAAATCCTGTGATTCTAGGAACAACGGGTAAGACCTGTTAACTATGCTCTAACATGCTTTAACATTAGACTAACATATCTATCCCTTGCTGCCCAATCTGCCCCCCCCTAACCTCCCTCTCCTGTATACTATCAGCTGCTGCCCACCTTCCCCTCTGTCTTGCTTGGACCCAATCACATTCAAGCTATTTCAATGAGCAGTTGACCAGGACTGCTCGGCTGGGGCCAGCATCAGCCAATAACACGGCTAATACTGTGGCAATGAAGACTGTTTCATCCAATCATGTAGCAGCTGACCAAGTCTTCAAGAACATCCCTGGCTTGCCTCATTTTGTATTGTTTTTGCTGTGTGGCACATTTTGATATAGTTTGAGGCTGCCTAGCAGTTTGGTTCAGTCCAGAATGTGCGAGTGACCCTGAGGGCGAGGGTGTCCTGCGGTTGCCACAGCCTCGTTGGTAACAGGTTATGTTTGCGTTCCTTTCTCTCCTCTCCTTTGCTTTCCGGAAGCAGCACAGAGACGTGTCATCTTCTCTAGAGAGTGGCGTGTCCAAGAACTCGCTCTACTCCAGGACCACGGCCAGCTACATCGAAGGGGAGAGTCCCCACTTGCCCAGAGAACTGGACCACTCTTTGGGAATTGCACGAGAGGAGGTGCCCTGAAAATATTTCTTGTTCCTCCGTAAGTCATTGTTTGTTCCTTTAAGTCTGCATCTCACATTTAATGAAATTATTTTGTCTCCATCCTCAGATTGTGACAAAGGAGAAAGAAGTGCTGGAGTGGCAGAGGAAGTATGAAGCCAGTCGACAGGAAGTGGTGGAGATGAGGTAAGAAGAGACACCTTGGGTTGTTATCGCTTTCATACACCAGGATCCCACACGCAGACACTGAAGCATGAATCTAACACCTAGCTGTGTTTCGGACTCCGCCCATTATCAACCGCCGAACCTCTCAAGCGGTTTATCTCGCTTAAGGTGTCAGACAAGGCCATGATTAACGGGAGACTGGATAGCCATTTAAAAAAAATCAACACCTCGTCCTGTTGGCAAGGAGTAGAGATAAATAGATGGAGATCATGTGGTGTAAATGTAGAGGTTTTGCTGTTAAAAAGTTATATGTGAGAAAATATCCTAGGTTATGCTCAACTGAGCTCGTAACTAACAGTAGCTACACTTGTTTCATGATGATCAGTCTAGGTTAAATTCATAGCTTCCAATTGGGGTTTTGGGAAAGATGCACAGTAAAGAAACTTTACTGTGTGTCAGCAGGTGGCGGGTGTCAGCTGTCTGCTGCTCAGTTAGTGTGGATAAGTCGGAGCTTACTTCATTTGAATGATTAGACTTTGGATAAGGAGAGGCTAAGAGGCTAAGGGGAAGGCATGGCTAATCTATCCTCTTACCTCTGGAAACTTGCTTTTAAAAAGACGAAGCTTTGTACTGGGTCCTGTTGCTTTTCTACTAGTTGTGTCGAGACACTTCGAACAACAGAAATTCAATTTGATTTTGAAAAGTTGTGCAGTAAATTTTGGAGCTAATTCAAAGCAAATTCTCCATTTCCTCTAAATACGGCGCGTTTACTGTAAACCTGGACGGCGATAAGTAGCTTACAGGTGTTTGCTGGAAGGGTTCGAGCAACAGGCGGGTGGTGCAGGGCTGCACATGTCAGAGGGAGAGATGGGAATTTTTGGAAAAAATAGACTTCTTGGTATTCGATGTGAGGAGTCTTCTTTTTTGACTTTTTATGTGACATATACTGAAGATTTGCAACTTCTCATCCGTAGGAGAATTGTAGCTGAGTATGAGAAGACGATTGCCCAGATGATAGGTGAGTTCACGTAACCATAAGCACGCAAATTTCATTTTAAAGCTGCTATTTTTGTTTCCCGTACTCTTCCACTTTATTTTACTCTTGTTCATTTGCAAACTGATCTGCTATAAGGTCCTTGTGAGGCCTTATCCAGTGCTACTGATCACAGATATTTGAATCTTATTTGAATTTTTTTTTCTATCCTTTGCAAAATTTCGCTTTTCTCTGTGTTTGCTTTCATATTTGAATGACGTGAACTGAATCCTCATGTCAGTGGAGGGGACAGCACTCTCCTTTGCCCGCTCTTGTTCAGCTTCTCTGGACTCATTAAATTTCACCGCAGGCTCACACTCCTGCATTATTCCTGCTCTCACCCACATCTTCCTTTCCACCTTTGAACGTCCCCGAAGATTTGATTTTTTTTCTTTCACTGCGACCGGCTTTTTCTTTTTCCTACTCTCATTAAAGCACTGTCGCACACAGGAACAGTCTGCCTCTGCTAATGTCTAACACTCGGCTCTGTCACGTGTCTTGCCCTCCCAGCTTGACTTAACACAGTCCCTTCTTTTCTGTTCTGCTCCCATCTTTGCCCCCCTTACTATTTGATAACCCTGACAGGCATGCCAGGTGAGTAACGAGGAATTGTCTTTCATTTGTTTGTGTCAGCTCGCATCTCTCCATCCGTCCATCAGAGAGGGGAGCAGCTGTGCTCAATTTCTTCATCTCATTCAGAGCCATTCATTCATTTGTTTGGTTTTTGGCTTTCACCTTGTAGGCTGAGACTAGTTTTTAAAAGAGAGACAGGACTGAATCTAATGAGTTTTAAAAAATGACTTTGTTGTTGTTATTGTTCATGTAAAGTACAATATTATACATATTCAGTCAGATGTAATACACACTGTAAATCTGTACATGAACACGTGCACTTCACCCATGACTGGCGATGGCTGTGAAGTCATTCATGCAGATTTGGTGAGTTAACCGAGTTGCTCATCGATGGGAAATGAAAGGGATATTTGTAGGCTGAAATAGTGTAGGCACATTGATATGTAACACTGAAAGGTCTTGAGGCCACTCTGATGTTTCTCCTCTGTTTTTCTTTTCTCATTGTTCAGCTTTTTGTGTTTTGCATGCTACACTGGTTTATCAGAAATCCTCATATAGTGTAGTAAAACATCTTGTTGAATCATACTACCACAAATACATTTCGATATATTGTGAAAAATGTCAGAGAAGTCTTTTGTGTGTGTGTGTGTTTGTGGTGATTGGGGTCTTTTAACAGTATTTTTACCCATAACAGCAGTTTCTTCACCTAGTAGACTCTTTATCTGCATCCTCTCTATGTGTGTCCATCAGAGGATGACCAGAAAGAGAAATCTCTTTCCCATCACACCATCCAGCAGCTCATCATGGAGAAGGACCAGGCACTGGCCGACCTTAACTCTGTGGAGAAGTCTCTTGCCGATCTCTTCCGTCGTTATGAGAAGATGAAAGATGTGCTGGAGGGCTTTCGCAAAGTAACACAATTTATTCCCAGGTTTTTATCAATATGAACATCTCGGTTGGTCATCTCAGATTTTTTTTTACTTGCCCCCTTGTGTCACCCACATACAGAATGAAGAGGTATTGAAGAAATGCGCTCAGGAGTATCTTTCAAGGGTTCGCAAGGAGGAACAGCGATATCAAGCCCTGAAAATTCATGCAGAGGAGAAACTAGACCGGTGAGTCTGTACATATTCTTATTATGTCACATTTTCTGCAATAACTGTGTTATTTTCCCCACCACACTATCTAAACTGTAACAAATGCAGTAAATAGTCCAGTAATGCAGTGTCTTATGTGAATGCAAGTAAATGCTAACTGTAAGCTGCTAATTTTTTCACTATGTACATTTCAGTTTTTCTTACTTCCTGAGCATAAAAGCTCATGAACAATATACATTTTTGACTTCAAATACTTTGGTTTTAATGCTTATTTCAGTTCTTTGTAGTCATATTTTCTTTTATTTTTTTTTCTCTATATGTGATGTGATTTCTAGTGTTTGTGGGACTGAGAACAGTGTTGAAGTTTAGCTAGCAGTGAGTCTCCATAACATTGGTACTTTCCTGTACCAAAAACTGTTCTTTAAGTGTACAGCATAACTTATTGTCTGAGCTGAAATATGTTTGTATATGAGTCAGTGTAATTGGAAACAAGTCTAGCTAACTAGCTAGCAATGAGTCTAGCTAACATTGCTAGCTGAAGCTAAACCAGTATTTACAGTGGCTCGTATCGAAACATATTTCTATAGATTACATATGATCCATATTAACTCTTTGTTAACTTTTATTTGCTTTTTAGATTTTATAGGCTTTTGTGAGTTGCGAAGAGGTGATTTCTTGTATCATTTGTATGCCTCCAGGGCCAACACAGAGATAGCTCAGGTGCGGGCCAAGGCCAAGCAGGAGCAAGCTGCCTCTCAGGCCAGTCTGAGGAAGGAGCAGATGAAGGTGGACTCTCTGGAACGCACTTTAGAGCAGAAGGTCAGTTTTAGGATATAAGAAGATATTAAATTAAAATTTTCTAAAGTCATCCAAGTGTATAATCTTTTGTTGCTAACTGTTTTACAGAATAAAGAGATCGAGGAGTTAACAAAGATCTGTGATGAACTAATTGCTAAGATGGGGAAGAGTTAGCAGGCCACATCACAATGAAGCCAAGCAGAAAATGAAGAGAAGCACTCCTTCTCAAATTGATGGACCTCTAAGACCAAAGTGGTCTTGGGGTTGTATTTCCTACTGACCATGTGTATACATCATCCACAGGATTGGCTTCCTCCTAATTACTCTGTATATTTTTGATGTTTCAGTGTATCGTACTGTATCAGGGGGTCTGCTTTCAAGTTTTATCATATCACTAATGAGTATGCCTGTGTGCGCGAGTGCGTGTATGATAATGAGAAAGTGCAAGCATTGTTTATGGGTTAAATTATCTATTATGATGTTGCCATGACAGCCACTGAGGGAGAAGACTGTTTACCCACTCCTGTTATTGTCTCCTCTTAATAAAGAGAAAGATAGACTTTGAAGATGAGAACCAGATTGTTAGAGTTATCCATAAAATGGTGATGCACCACTAAGAGAATACAAGCGATCACTATAGATTCTTGCATGTGAGAGATAAAGAAGAACTTGTAATGTTAATGTTTGTATATACTGTAGGAAACAACAAGACTTGTGCATTTTTGATAGTTATTCTGTTGTCTTCAGCCACTCCCCTCACATAACATTGTAGATATTTGTCATACTTGTCATAGCTTTTTTGATGAAATTGTGGAACTTTATTTTTGGGATTTTATTTTGATAAAAAGCAAACTAATTGTGACTGTGTTCAGTTGTGACCAGAAGTAATTTAATTTTGGATGAACCTGTCCTAGTCCTGCAATGGTTGTTTGTCACACTGAGGAATAACTTCTCTGCACAGCTACTGTACAGCATCTGCTTACAAAGTGCAATAAAAGATGGCAATACAGCATGCTGAGTTTAATTTGGTTCTTTTTTCTCATTCCCCATTTTTACATCTTTTATATTCCTCTATGTGATATCCACCCATCTTAATAGTACCATGTTGTACCCCTTCTTTCCCTTTAGAGATTTTGGCCCATATTGACATGACAACATCACACAGTTGCCTCAGATTTGGTGGCTGCACATCCATGATGTGCTTCCAATAACACCACATCCCAAAGGTGCCCTACTGATTTAGATCTAGTGACTGGAGGCCATTTAGGGACAAATGGCACATTATCATGTTGGGAACAGGAGAAGAAGTTTACACTGTGCTCATAAACATGGTCATAAACATGATCTACATGGTAAGCGTGAAGTAGTCAGGCTTGAGTGTTTAGTAAGGTGGTAGGTAAGCAGACACAGCAGAGATTTTGGATTCCCAGTGAGCTCTGTTATATATGAAACATAAACCAAACCTCCCCCAAATTAACTAAAAAAACAAAAAGCACATGGAATAGGACTAGCCCCCAATCATAATGTCATGCATACAGTGTCCTGCAATTAACACTATTAGAATATGCTGCATGCAAACATATCCAACCCTTTTCACTATAGTGAACTTCAATTCAAATCATGTACACTTTACAAATTTACTTTCAAATTCAAAAGAATTAGTTGAATGACTTGTTGTAATGCTTAAGAATAAATCAGATTGAATACTCACAGATTTGATAACTGTGGACCCCATAGTTATCAAATCTGAGACACAGTATCAAGCATGTTGATTACAACTTTCCAGAAAGTTGAGAAAATACTTAAATTAGTAAAGCAGGGAAGAGGTGAAAGATGCACAACATTGTTTTAGCCTCTTAACCATTTAGAGGCAGTCCACCAAATTATAAAGCAATTAAGTAAGTAGTAGCATTCAGCAGACACATAACAATCACAATGCTACTCCATGCACGCTGGACAAGAAGCAAGCTGGTAAGAGAGCTGCTTTTATATCAAGCTTCTCCAGTTTATACAAACCCTCGCTTTGTGCAGGCTCATCACAGGGCATCATTTTTTTTATTTTAATTTTGCTAAACTTTAGTTTTTCCTCCTAACTTCTGGCAATCTGCTCACTTTGTTCTTCTCTCAGTCGTCACTCTCTTCACGCTCCTCTTTTGCACCTAAAATCACATATAAACATATTATATTTATCAATAAATTGCCATAAAAATAATTTAAGTTAAATGATTCTAATTGCAGGCTGGGGATGTGTGTTTGATGACGTCACTTTGACTTATTACCTTGACTTTAACTGCATCCACTGTCCATACGTCCATTGTGTTTCATTTTGCTGTGTCTCCTTCTCTTCCTGTCTCTGTCTTTGTGTTGTAATCCAAAAGGTCAAAGTAAAAGTGAAACCGAATTTATAACCTCAATAACGTTTAGAACTACACTCAAACTGAATGTGGGGTGCTGCTGGCCATGTACAGGAACATCCATCTAAGTTGCTCTCACCTGGATCTGAAGCTGTACTGTAATCAAACACAGAAGCCTAATTCGACCAGAATAGGCAACTTTAACGAAACTAGACAGTAAATATCGGCTCCTTGCCTGGCAACTAGTGATAGTGCCAGCAGACTAAGAAAGCTAAAATTAGCTAATAATCTCTGGTGAGCTAGCTGATGTTAGCTAATGTTTTGGGTGCTATTTAGAGAGCAAATATATACAAACAGGCACTTTTTAAAGTCACATCAGTGACCCTGTGTTATCAGAAGAAGTTTCCCTTTTGCTTCCTCATGTTTCAGTAACCTGTGTTTTGAGCATACTTGTGTCAGGAAATTATCTCTTCATCTTCTTCTTTCTGCTGCAGCACCACAAATCTTCTCTAATAATGATAAGCCACTGCTAGTGAAGCACACAGATGATGTAAAAAAAAAAAGAGAATAATAACATGTAATGCTATTGCTACTGTTATGGTTATTTTTAGTGGTGCTTGAGCACTCCTGAAATGGGTTTAAACTTACCAATGGTGGCCATTCTCATATGATCTATGGACTCAACAGGGCACTTTCAACCAAATAAGTTTCGCTCACAGGATATTTTCTCATTTTTGGACCATTCTCTGTAAACTCTGGGGACGGCCGTGTGGGTGATCTACAATTTCTGAAATGCTCAGACCCGACAAATATGGCAGGAGCAGTCATGCTCTGGTCAAAGTCACTTAAATCAACTTTCTTTTGATGCTCATTTGTAACTGCAACAGCTTTTTCCTCACATGAGAAATGCGAGTTTAGACCAGGCAAAAAAAAAAAAAAAGTATTATGATGAAATACACTTGCACAGCACTTCTTGTTTTTGAAACTTTTAATTTTTCAAAGATGTAAAATGAGGGATACATATAACTCAGGGTTTGTTTTTGCAATCAGTAAAAGGTATGTGAAGACATTCTGATTAACTATGCTATGATAAAATAAAATAGACAAATTTGGGTTCTGCAATAACACGAAATCCCAAAAATAGAGAAGGGGAAAACCATTAGAACTTAAAAACAACCAACAAGAAACATCACAGGGTGAATAACGAGCACACCAGGAAGTGATAAGAACTGCAGGGCACAACACAGGTCTGAGACTGGGGTAAGTAAACCTGAATACTAAACACACGAGACAAGTGGTTGACGACTTAAAACAGTTAGTAACTTAACAGGAACAACTAACCTAAGGATTAAGGTTAACCACAACACAAGGGAAGTGGAAATTATGACGAAACCTTAAACACTAAACTGAATGAAACCAATGAATCTTGTTTAAAGAAAAATTATGCAAAGCTCCAAACACTGTGCAAAGGAAGAACAACTCAACAAAAGATAAATCAATCTACACCAGTAACCAGAAATAAATACAAAGGAATATATGATGGGGAAAAACTAAACTGCGGACAGAAGGCATTTGAGTTGTCCAAAATTTAGTCAAGCTTGAAGGTGCTGATTTTGGAGCAAAGGCTTTTTTTTATTGTTCAACACCCTCTTAAATCCATGGTGATGTAAAACTCACCTAATTGTGGGCAGTGGTGCAGGTGTCCCAGCAGTTTCCACTGTATGACAATCTCGAACCTTTGTTGTTCTTCAGTTGTTCATGAACATCCTTCTTCTTATCTGAGGGTGACAGTTTGGGGCTTCTTCCAGACTTTGACAAAGTGAAAACACATCCAAAAAAAATTTGATACAATTGTTTGAACAGATTATCTTGGAAGATTATCTTAGAAATGGCTCCAAGAGACCTTCAAAGGTTGTCTAGATCTGCAATTCTCCTTCTTAGATCTTCACTTGGACTTTCCCATTGTTCTGAGTATTGGTCAGTCTAATGAGTGCTGTGAAACAAATCCTTGCTTTGCTGGCAAAGATGAACTACCACTCTTCACTCTGGCACAGCTGGCTGCTGGCAGAGCCTGCGGGCACACCATTGCAGCCCCCCCTGGCTTCTTCTCTGTGGCTGCTGGGTGACCCCTCGTCTGGGGCTCTCCACAGCTCTTACCGGGAGGGTGGCAAGGATGCACCTCCGATGGTCCTTCTTGGGCTCTCGCACTCTGGGTCCTCTGGATGTCTGGGGCCTGGATCTCCTCCATGCGTGCTTCATGCCCTGGGGGACAGGCCTATGGCTCCCTACACCCTCTAGCAGATCATTACATGGAGAAACCTTTTGAATACAAGCACGCTCATCCACACAGGTGTGCACGCAGGTGTACACACAGGTGTTCACTGTTCTGACACAAACTACACCTTTCTTGGCTGCTACCTCAAAGCACATTGAGCGCTGTCAGTCCTGCGTGTTGCACAACAACGTTCATTATTTAGTATTTACTGTTATTTACACTTAGCTGGATTAATGCGATGGTGTTGTGTTTATTATGTCGCTCTCTTTTTTTGCTTGTTTTCTCTTGATCCGGGAGATTTTTTTTCTTTTTTTTGTTGCCCCTACCCAACACCTGCCATACGTAAGTACTTTGGCACGACAACCAGCAGGGACAAGAAAGCAAAGAGCCAAACTCAGGATGGGTGTGGCCTCAGCAAACTGTTAATGCGAGAGAGTCAGAATGAAATCCATTATGTGTCCTCTGTCCATCCAGGCTGCAGAAGCAACTCTGTTGTTGTTTAAGACAGAGTGGTGGGCCCCAGTTGAGGGGCTAGTAATCTCCTGGCTAGTACAGGAAGGAATATCAGCTCATCTGATAGCTCAGATTAAGCTCAGGGGGCTTTAGGAGCAAACAACCTGCTTTTCATTGTGTAGTCGGGACAAGTGAGGACCATCAGCGCCATGAGAGCTGTCCACTATTGTCTGCCGCTTCTGTTTTCCCTGGTCCTGCTAGCAACCACCTGTAAGAACTTTTTCTTCTTTATGCACCTCTGTTTGCTGGTTAACTGTTTGTCCATCTTTCATTTCATCTCGCCTCCTTTCAGATACTGTACGTTTCAACCCTTGCATTATAAATAATAGTTTGTGTTAAGCGTTTAGTGTATTTAATGTGTTCCTGAAGAGTAAGACCGTGTTAAACAAATAACTAAAATGAATGGCTCCACTGTACATTCTGACTTAAGGAGCGTAGATGCTGGACATGATGGACATACAGTTATTTCTCGGGAAAAACCTGACATGTTTCATAACTTCAGTAGGATCATTAAACATTAAGTCCTTTTACTGACCTTATACTTTATTTATGTCATGTTCACTAATTGCTGTCTGCAGTGATTCTGATGGGTTTCGTGTCCCTTCAGTCCATCACTCTCCACTATACACCCAAGAAGCACGCACTCCCTGCAAATAATCTCTTAATAGGCCTGGAGGCTAATACTTACAGCATGTGTGTAGAGCGACAATGCCGCGGGGATAGATTGGGGCCAACTGCAAACAACAGAAAGTATTTATATACCAACTCAATATACGTGAGAGCACATGTGCAGAAAACGGGCCGATTATGCAATTTCTTTGTTTCACACGTGCTTCTATAGCTTCGCTGTTTATTTGTGGTTAGGTTTTG